TTTCCCATCAATATAGATATGTGTTGATCGAAGTTAAAGGTCAATTGATTATATCCCTATTAATAGGCATAGGAAAACTTTGTTAAACTTTATGCACACCGTAAGCTAGAAATTAAATGAACTAAATCAATGAAATAAATAGTTATATTTATTATAAAAAAAAAAAAAAAAAAAACTAAGTTAAACGTTCAGCATGCATGCATCATACGTGTAATGTGTCAATGTACATAACGGGTTTAAAATGTAACCCAATTTATGGCAATGACTCTTTCGGTAATTTGATTAAACACCCTATGAGAGTATGGTTTAAACTTTTACAAGAGAGAAGCAAATTTCTCTTTTACTTTCAAATTAATTAGTATACCTGATGTAAAAAAAAGAACATTTCTTTAAACGGGCAAGTTCTAAACAGTAAAAACAACTAGAGTGGAAATTACTTGTAACTCAAGAAATAGACAAAGTCTATAAATACTAGGTAATACTTGTAATTGTTATACCTTTTGAATAGAATACGATGGCTAATCAGTATGATATTCGACAGAGACTTGAAATACAATCTCAACTTGAAAGCATTGACCGGAGAATGAATCAAGCACGATCTTTAATTGAAAAAGAATGGGAAAAGGAAAACCATGTTCGCGATTTGGAATACATATTTTCCTTGGAGGACACACTTGAACAGCTAAGGACAGAGCGGGCAGATCTCCTTATTTCATTCACCAGAAAAGTTCGTGACCCCAGAAGATTTTAGAATTCGATTATTAAGTGATCCTAAATTATATATATGGTGCATGATGAATTCCTACATTATAATCAGGTGTTATTAATTTATATATATATATATATAATCTAAAAGCATTACACACATGTTATATACATATTGATTACGATCATGTATATTTAATAATTCTGAACTTTCTAATAATTTTTCATGGGAGACTCCCATTATTATATGGTAGTCAATTACTCCTAATTTAATCTTGTGTCAGTTACTATTAGTTAATGTAGGCAGCATGCATATGCATGTGTTTTTATATTTCATATAGTTCTTAGAATTGGAATTCAATTGTGCATCATTACTCGGGGAAAAAAAAGATATAGAAACTTTATTTGTTTAATTTTGTGCTTCTGTGTTTGATTAAATCGTCATATTATCAATCATATATACATTTTGTTTATTTATTTTTATTGTAATGGGACTACAACACAATTTGAACTTAATTAAAATATGTGTATATATATTATCTCAATTTGAACATAATTAAAATATGATTTAAAATAATTTTAATGTTGATTGCGAGTGTGGTTGGTAATTATATGCATGGAAATTGAAAGATTAATTAATTATATATCATGGGAAAATTTTTAAGTTATTTATTTTGTTTCTATGCACGATAGTCGCTTTGAGGTTACTACTTATGACCTTATGTATGTTATTCTCAATCCCTATACATCAATAGAAGAAGAAAAGAAAAAAAAAAAAAAAAAAAAAAAAAAAAAAAA